CATTGTTGTTTGGCGGGTCCGGGCTGGGGATTCGAACCCGCCACCTTAGGTGTACGTGGCTGGCGCCTTAGCCAGTTGAGCTATAGGCGTCGAGCCCATATTAATTTCTTAATGTAATATCACAGGAGTCACAACATTATGGTATAGGAAATTCACCCACAGATAGTGATTCAAAGATTCAGACAGTACAGAGGAACAACACAGAGCTTCAGTCCTCAGTTAAGGTTCTCTGTTAATTCATTGTAAATGTCTTGTTCATTTTTTTTTTTATTCTTCTTTCTTTCCATAGGTTTGTAAAAGAATGGACTTGGTGTGCCAGAGAATGTTGAATCAGGGGTTTCTGAAAGTGGAGAGGTACCATAATCTATGTCAGAAACAAGTTAAAGCACAACTTCCACGGTACGTTGTGACTGGCAGTGACAATAATTTAAAGTTGAAGGTTTTATTTGTTTCTTTTTTTTAAATATTGGGGCTTACATGGTCATTGGTTTTCGAGTTTTTGTAGCAAAGGGCACACAAATCACATTGTAATTTCTACTGTGGTTTGTCTGTTCTCACCATTTTGTTGAGTATTTTACTAGAGGTTCCAGCCAAGGAATGGCATCCACATGGGAAAAGAAGAAGAAAAATCTCTCTTTTCACAGATGATATGTTTCATATATAAAGAACACACTAATTGATTATTAAAGCTAATGAAACAAGCTCAGCAAAGATAGAGAAGATGAATATACAGAAATCAAATGTATTTCTTTGTCCCCCTCCATAGGGTGCTATGGCGTCATAGCTTACAGCAACCTCAAACTCTCGGGTTCAGGTGCTTCTCTTGCCTTAGCCTCCCAAGTAGCTGGGACTACAGGTGTCCACCACAACACCTAGCTTTTTTTTTTTTTTTTTGGCAGTTTTTGGCCAAAAAAACTGGTGGTGGTTTGAACCTGCCACCTCCAGCATATGTGGCTGGCGGCCTACTCTTTTAAGCCACAGGCACTGCCCAACACCTGTCTGTTTTTTAAGATGGAAATCTTGCTCTTGTTCAGGCTAGTCTCAAACACCTGAGCTCAGGCAATTCATCTGCCTCAGCTTCTCAGAGTGCTAGGATTACAGGCATGAGCCAGTGTGCCTGGCCTCAATTGTATTTTTATACACTAGCAGTGAACAGTTTGAAAATGAAATTTAGGCTCGGCGCCTGTGGCTCAG